GTGTGCGTGTGTGTGTGTGCTGAATGATTAGAATTTGATTCATATTTGTGAGCACTTCCTTTTTAAAATTAGAACTTCCCTACTCAATCCCATATTATTCCAGATAAATAACTGGGTCACTAGGAGGCATTTCTTCCACTAATTACTTTATTACTAATAAAGCTTTAGTAACAGACCCAGAAGAAGAGAAGCAGCCGCAACCACTCCACAGCCGTCAGGGCCCATCCCGGAGAAATCCACACAGTGCTAATCATTCAAAATGATGTAATCCATTCTGGAATAAAGTTATGGGCCATTTTGAGTTAGGATATTGAAAAACAACGTACAACCATAACCTTAGACCTAGGTTGCAAATTTAATTTATATATCAAAATATACTTTTAACATAGGATTTTCCCCACTTTTCCAATCGCGCATGCTTTAATGTAATTTACAGTTTCCTCGATGGACACTCCATATTCAGAAAGAACGGATAAGTCCTACTGTCCCTTGAATGTACGGCTTTCCATGCTCTTCCCCCATGAGGGCGCCGATCATCCACCTGGTTCACCTTTGAACCTCCAGCTCCTAAAACACGGTGCCTCCTGGCCAGCAATGCTCAGTAGTCACTGACCGAGTTAGCCGTCTTGGAAACGTCCATTACCTCCCTACCCAAAGCCTTCCTCAGGGTCAGCGCAGGCCCTGCATCCTCTAAGCCCCTCCATCGCGGAGACACTGCTTAGTGTCGCGTATCCCTAAGGCAGTCGTATCCTGGCAACGAATTTGCATGCTCTTCAGAAACATTTGCCTGAAATGTGTTTTCGTTGTATCCTTTTGCCCATTATTTTGTGTTCTATTCTTATTTTTAAACCCCCATCTCCAAACGCATTTAACACATTAACATGTGCATTAAGTATTCAAGTAACTTATGTAGAGGAGATGATTCATTCAAAAAGTGTTCTTAGGAGTTTCTGCTCAGTTCTGGAGTGGCCAGTGCAGCATTGGATAGACACACATTCCTGTGCTCTCGGAGCTTGCTTTCTACTAGCAAGAGGCAAACAAATGAACAAATGAGGAATATGAGAATAACAGGCACTGATCGATCATTGCCATGACAAAAATAGGTATGTGCAAGGGTGTGACTAGAAGCCAAAACATAAAAATAAATAGTTGATTTATTATTTATTAAGTATTGCCTCTCTGAGGAGTTAACAGTTGATCCGAGGTCTGAATGGACAGGTAAGAAGGTACCTGTGAGGAAAAGATCTGAAGGAAGAGCCTTCGGAGTGATAATGGGCAGGAATGAACTTGATAGTTAGTTTGAAGGTAGTGAGGAGAAAGACTTCTATCAGAACAACAAGGGTTTGAGATGCTGCTAAATGAAATACAGCCGAGGGACGATCTCCTATAATCCATATGGGTTGGAATCCTGGTGGTGTGGAGAGAAGGGGGATGGGGAAAAATACAAAAATTAGCATATGGTACTTGTACAATGTGACTGGATGAGTAGACATAGAAGATAGAAACCCAAGACTGAGTCATGGACATGACAACGTTTAACAGTAAAGCCAAGGATTCTACTAAAGAGACCAGGAAGAAATCTAGCAGAAAATGGTGTCAAGAATGCATTTCAAGGTTGAGCGAATGGTCAGTTGTATTGACAGCTGTTGAGAGGCCTAGTACAATGGGAGTGAAAACTAAGTAAGCAATATGGGAGTCACTGTGACCTTCAGAAGAGCAGTTGTAGTGGCTTCATGGATGTGAGTTAACAAGAGGAGAAATGAGAAACCAGGGAGACAGCAAAAGTTAACCATTTCAAGAAGTTTTATTGGGAAAGGGACTGAAGAAGTTGAAGTTGGAAGAAGATTGTTTTTAAAGAGAGTTACTAGAATACGCTTGTAAGAAATGTGAATAGCCAAGTATAGAGGGAGAAATTAGTGAGACTGCAAAGAGGTTGAAATGCAGAAGCAAAGTTAAAAGGTGTTGGCTTCCAAAGCACAAATGATACAGTTAGCTTTTGATAGGTGCAGAGGGTGACTATAAATTATATGAATACTATTTCACAATACAGAAATATTCTGCATTAAAATGTTGAGAAACTAAAGCAGGTCAGGTGAAACCACATGAGTTTGCTGACTTGTGGCCATTTTTGACCTGCAAAATACCATTTTTCTATGGCCCAACGTTATAATAATATGCATACTTAAAATAGCCTAGAATACACAAGTGGAAATAGATGAGAGGATGTTTTCAGTTTTCTCATTTTTTCTAAATTTTGTGAAATATTTTCACATAATTTTAAAACAAATATAAGGGGCTTCTTAAATGTCTCTTAAGGTGAATATTGCCTTAATCATTAGGTTTTAAGAAATGCTGAACAGAACAGGCAAAGACAGAATTAGATCCAAGTAACAATTCCGGTTTTATCTTTGCCTCTGTGTTCTTTTTTAAAGGATTAAAACATCTACCACATACTTCAAGATTCCTCAGTATCTCTTCTTCTTAGCGACTCAGATGTATAAAAATTTTAAATTAAAATGAATCCATGTGTTTCATCTTTAAAAATATGTCCATTGGCTTAAATGTCTATATTTTCTTTTGTCCCAGGCTTATTTATATTTATTTTCCACTGTGCTATGAAGGAGAACGTTCAGAAACAGTGGAGGCGGCATCTGTGCTGTGGCAGATTCCGGTTAGCAGACAACTCGGGTAAGGGGCATGTTGGTAATTGGTTTTATCATCTACAAGTAGTAGTGGGAACCATTTGTCACCTGGTCTATCATTGTCAGAAATACCCAGTCCCAATGGTAGCAAGTTGTAAAGTGGGGTATGTGACGATGCCTAGTTGGAGTCTTAGGATATTAGGAATGCAAGAGATCTGGGGCCTTCTGTTTGGCAGAGGAGAAGCATGAAGTCCACACAGGGTGAGTGAGTTGCTCAGGGTTTTATGTGTAACTTAACAACTCAATTATCGAGAGGTTCCACTATGCCATTGGCACCTTTCCACATTTTTGAGATCCTCAATTCCATGATTAGGCCAAGAGATTTTTCTCAATGCTGTAAAAAGAAATACCTGAAAAAAGTATTGTATTTTCTAATTACCCATCAGTGGAAACTGCTCACCCTTAGGATATTAAAGTAGGATTTAAAACAATATTTTACACAGGGTCAAAGTGAGAAACTTATCTGTTTGTTTAGTTTCCTATTGTTTACATCTAATGCTCTGAGTGTTACTTAAATATTATATAGTGATGATTCTTCAGGCTAGAACATAATCCCCTACAGCAGATTCACGGAGAGATGTCATTTCTTTCAGACTGGAGTAAGACAGCTACCAATACCATCAAGAAAAGTTCTGATAATCTAGGAAAATCATTGTCCTCAAGCTCCATTGGTTCCAACTCAACCTACCTTACATCCAAATCAAAATGCAGCTCTACCACCTACTTCAAAAGGAGCAGTCACCCAGGTGAGTCCTTCTGGCCGTGGTAAAGGTGTTCTCATCACGTTTCATTGAGAAAATTGGCATATCATGAAGACTGATAGATCACAATGCCTAGTAGGGTGGTTATTCTACATTTATGAAAATCAAAATCTACTTGAAGACCATATCCAGCACCTTCGTGAATGTTTTGTCTCTCTTTTAGATTTTATAACCCAAACTGAATCTATATAGCCATAATATCATTGACTCTGAATGTTATTGTAACTTCCTTTGATTCAAAACTTAGTTTCCTGTAAAAAATTATAGTATCTTGTTTTACAATTGTGTTTTTTATTTTAAAATGGTATATAGAAATTGAGTTGCAGATGATTTCAGCATAGTATGAAAGTCACTTGGCAAGTTTGCACGGGAACAGAAAGAAACACCTAGGATGTATGTTACCTTTAAGGATTAAATCTTTAACCATTGAAAGTGTTATTGGCAATTGCTGTTTAAATCCCTGATTAAACAAAAAAGTATGAAAAAATAGAGAACATCCTATTTGAAAAAGGACACTGGATGGTGAGAAATGCCGTATCTTTGTTGATCTGCTGTATGTTTGTAATATTTGCATTGACCACACATCCTGACGCTGAGTTTGTAATGAACAGTCCTAAAGACAACATGGAAATAGAGATGATTTTGCAGCACTTGATAGCCAGTGATGGGATAAGGGGTCATCTTTCCATAATCTCAAAGGAAAATAGCAGAATTGCTGCTTTTAAATGCTAATAAAGTCTCAAGCAAACAGTGGTCAGCACTTAGCCCCCAGCACTTTCCTAATTAAAGGGACTTCCCAAAGGATCATGGAAATAAGTTTTTAATTTTTAATTTGTTTAGCTGTTGAACATACACAGAGGTGAATGGCACAGAAAGGATGCACCATTGGCTTGCTGCAAATAGGGAATGTGTTGTGTGGTGTGTAAATGTTCACACTGCAGACACTTGAATTTCAAATGAATCCTTCCACCTGTCCCTCCTGCACCCCTGTGTGTGCCCCACCAGTGGAGTGGATGCTGCCTGGGATTCTAGATAGCACTGTGGGAAAAGGTTTGAGTGTATAGAGGGGTTTGTTAATTCCAAAATTAATTAAGAAGCATCTGAAACCTTGGAACAGTTTAGGAGGTTCTTGGAGTCAAGGATATTTTGGGAAATGTAATAAAAGCTATAAACTCTCTTCTAGAATAAGGTACAGCCTTTGAGTTCTGTGCACAAACAGGTTTGCCTGAACTTGAGAGGTCTGTGCACCCCTGCTTGAAATACCTGTGTAAGAAAATTAATAACAGGTGTTATCTGAGACCGTCTAAGATAGAGTATTGTACCTATTTGATAGTGTGCTGGCACAAAATCTCTTTTATTTATAATGAATGAATTTTTCACTTAATGTAATCAATCTTAAAATTAGATAGTCATTTTACATCCCCTTCTAAAATACGAATAGTTTATACATTATAAGTCAGTTATGTATGAGTAGGAATTAGACCAATTGAATTGTTTTCCTCTTAACACAGCTGAGGATAGCTAGCCTCAAGAAATGCCACTATTAAAATGGGAGAGAAGGTCACAAGGTAGACAATTAGAAACGGGGGGCATTTTGGAAGCATTAATGAAATACTTGAAAGTATTAAGGATCATGGGAAGACTCACTAAAAGATAAAAGGAAATGCAGAAACAGAAGTACCAAAGAAAAACTTTACTGTTTCCAAACGTTGTGCATTTTTTTTTAAAGAATGCATTAATATTTTTCTGTTTGCCATAATAAAACTCTTAGCATTAAATAAGTTCTTGTCAGCTGGCAGAAGGATTTAGTCAGCTATACGACATACTTCTATAATATAATAAATTCTGGTCTCCCATCATCTGACGTACAAGTGGCCTTCTGCTACCTAGCTGGTTCTCAGTGGACTGCTGGTGTGCGTGGCTCACTTGGCGTATGCAAGGAGTCACTGCATATTGTCATGGCTGTCTAGTTGGTTTATTTCTTGGAATTGATCTAGAAATTCATATGTTTATGGTGTAGATAATGTCTTCTAAGAGCATTCCTTCAACAAAAGTGGAGCATTCAGGTAAATTTCTATTACTTTTTGAATGCATGATATTTTTTTTTGCAAGGTAATAAAAGAATATTTGCATGAATTAAACTAAGACTCTTGCTGCACCAGCAGAATTGCTTGTTCTTTTCAATACTTCTCAGCTAGCACAATGGCACTCCTGCCCTGAGCTGGAATTTCTGAAATTTCAAATGGTTGTTTGCTGTGTTGGCTCTTGTCTGCATGGGGGTGTCTGCAAGCCGCTCCTTCTAGGAAATGTACCATGCTCTGGAGTTAGTAAGTCCCACATCAAGTAAAATAACAACAGCCACAACAAAAGCAGTACTTGAGAGGGTTGTGTTAGAAAGGCGTAAAGTGAAATTCTTTACTTTTTCGCTGCTCTTGTGAATTACTCGGTATGTCATGGTACATTCATAGAAGTCATAAAAGAGAAGTTGTTGACTCCAAGCCTGCTTTTTGAGGATTCTTATCTGCTTAAAATTTCAGCACAGGTCAAACAGTAGTTCATTTCCCTAGCCCCTGGTTTTCAAATTTGCAGCTATAATCAAAATTTATGTTGCCCATTATTACATTAACAGCCTAAGCAGAGGACTGGGAATAGCATATATATTGATACACAGCCCTTGCTAAGAATTTTACTTTATTAGACTGTCAAGACCCACAAAATTGAGTCACATATTGGAAATGGAGCCGGTCAAAATCTCTAAAAGATTCATGCCCCTGGAAGTTGTCAACAAAGTAGAATGATTATATCCTTGAAGTTACTTTGAAGATGTGTAGTTCTAAAAACATCAAGCAAACATTGTTCATTATTGAAATTTAACTCAATAGAAAAGTCCCCAACAGAAAACCAATGGCTAGTGAATATACGAACTGAAGGGAAGCACAGAGCCATCAGCTTGCCAAGAGCTCAGAGGGAGGGCCACCCCCCATCCCGCGCTTCAGCTGCCACCTGCCCGCAGCCCCCCACAGCCCCCCACTCTCTCTCTCGCCCTTAGTGTGGATGGACACTCCGTTTCCAATTGCAGCCTTCTTTTAGTGTTTGTTCCAACACAGGGTAACAGTTGAATGATTTGAGTCATCTCCAAAGACAACAGATATAACGATGATGGCTTTTACCAATTATTGAAGGATCTTTAATGATTTCTCACATATTGGCTCCAACTTACTCAAAACAGAAAAATGGCAGGGCGTGAGCATTTCCATGTTGAAGCCATGATTCCTAGAAGCAGTTTTTCCTGATGGAGTTTTTGCCTCTGCCACAGTGACTAGAGAAGATACCATGGAGGGAACTAGTGTGTTGCAGAAGGTCATAGCTGCTCCTTTCTCAGTGTGAAATCTCTGTGGTGAGGTTTAGGGTAGAATTTTCCTCCAAAATGTGTTGGGAGAGGGAGCGGGAAGGTACATACAAGATGTTCTTAAGTTATGTGAAGACAGCTATATGTATTTGTGGGTGATAGAGCATAATTGAGTTTCAGAGCATTATCTGAGCCCATTTTAGAAGATTTGGGGTCTAGGGAAATAATACTTAAATATATAGTATTGGGAGATTTTTGAACAGAAAGGTATTTAGCAGTCCTTTATTTCTATCCATTGCTCTGATATCCCTGTCAGCAATAACATAATTATGAGACTATAGTAGTTAGTAAAAACATATACTTAAAAAATTTCTGATAGACAATTTTAATTTCTATAATTTAAAAATAATTTTTTTCTATATTCCAATCACTTTTCAAGGTAAAAGCCATTGGAAAATGTGTTCAAAATATCCTTTTATGTTTATTTCATTCACTTTTATTCTCAAAGATCCTTTGAATCGTATTTTATAAAAATGTTTGCCCTGGCTGATGTGGCTGTTGGTTCGAGTGTCATCCCGTGTACGGAACGGTTGCTGGTCAGGTCCTGGTCAGGGGCGTCCCCAGGCTGCAGGTTGACCCGGGTGCGCATGGAAGCCAGCCAGCTGATGCTCTCTCACAGCTCTCTCCCCGCTGGCCCCCACTCTCTAAAATCCAATATGCATATCCTCAAGTGAGGATTAAAAATAAATTTTATTATGAGACTTGTCAGACATATATATAAAGTGGAGAGAATAGTATAATGGATCCCCAGTACCTGTCAACGCATAGTCACCTACCCATTTTCCCTCTCTGTATTATTTTGAAAACATATTTTAGACATCATATCATTTCTTTCATAACTATTTCAGTGTCATTTGTTACATAATCTGTTGTTTCTCCTTTTGAGCCTTGACATGTTTTTTTCTTTGCAGCTTTTTTCTGATTTTTATCAGCTCTTTGAAAAACACCGCCACAGGAACATTTCTTAAACAAACCCCAACACAGATTGCTAGAAGGCAAATTAACATTGATTTATCTATAGGAATGTACTTTGAAGACAAAAAAAAAGAATTTTTATTGCTATCTATTACTTAACCTGAGAGAGAGCCAGAGCTTCAGTTCCTCCGTGTACTTTTTTAATGTGCAAAATACAGTGTCCAGTGTGGTGGCCCTTAGGCATGTCGCCAGCTCTTCTTGCAGCCTAATCTCTTGTATCATTTCTTGCAGACAATGCTTCCATGGACAAGCCGTTATCCAAACTGACCCATGCTGATGGAGAACAAACATCAATCATCCCTGTCCATCAGGTCATTGATAAGGTCAAGGGTTATTGCAATGCTCATTCGGATAACTTCTATAAAAATATTATCATGTCAGAAACCTTTAGCCACAGCACCAAGTTTTAATGTCTTTAATGTAAGAAAGAGGAATCAGTCTGCAGGAACGTGATCTGCAAGCAGTGAAAACTCACTAGCAGATGTAAACGTGCCGTAGCCTAGGTAACTGCATATATATGAGGAATGTATTTTGTTAAAAAGACTTCTGTGAAATTCAGAATTTGTTTTTTCAGTGTATTTCTTCCATGGGGAAGTTTCCATCATCATTAAGTCTTCAGTACTGAGAAGCAACAGTACTCAGTAGCCACCGGAAATATGAATTTGTTAAATTTATAATTTTATTAAACTAATCAGAACTGATGGGGAGACATTGAAATTAGAAGAAAAGGGAGAGGCTGAGCTAGGGACAAACCTTACTTAGAGCTCATTCACACCCCACCCAGTAGTTAGGTTTGGATATGGCCATTTGCTTCATTGAAGTCTTCTCAACAATCAATCCAACTATTCTGATATTTCTAACTATTCTAGATGCCCACAGACCCCATCTCAGTGCTAGTTTCTGTGACTGCAGCAAGCATATTTCCTCATTTTCAATGAAATTTCAACCACAGATACAAAAGAATGTCTGACCTGAAGATTAGATAGGAATTTTTTCTTATCATAACAGATGTTTAACCTTCAGGAACATAACATGCTTAAAAAAAAAATTCCCCAAATTTCACCTAGTTAATATGAGGCCATGCAAATTTATACTATTTCACTTATCCTGTTCAAGACACAAGGCTTAAGCATCATCATTAATGATCATTTAACCCCATACATTTCAATCAAGTTTAGTCCTGGTGGTCCATCAATGTGGACCTCCCAGGAGTTGTTGAAGAATAAACTTTTTACGCCTCTGCTTTTGCTCCCCCACTGTATATTGAGCCCACAGGCTCATGGGAGGAATGAGAATTTCCATTAGGCACGCTGTGTGCAGTGGTCTCTCCCTCTTAGGAAATACTACCATTGAGACTCTGGTCCTGCCCTTGCTCTGCAGGCTCTAAGACATTTGCAATTGCACAAATGAAAAGCCTCTTACTTCCCCTTCTAAGAGTTTTGTTCCAAGGAATATAAACTGAGACAAATGGGTGACTTATCATAATCAAAATAATTTATAAACATGTGGGTCTCCAATTGCTAGCCTAAAAACTATTTGTACATAAGTCCTCTGATTATAGGAGCCAGAGGAGGCCTGGCAAGATAGATGGTGTGTTATTTATGGATCAGGTTTCTGCCTACAAGACATGCATAATATTAAGCAGCTTACCTAACTTTCCAACTATTCTGAGTATAATATGCTTGCTAGTGAATGTTTAGGAGACCACATTTTAATTGTTCTTCAATGATGGCTTTGTGTCCAGCTTCTTACTGATCGGTCTCGGTACATGCTGTACCCTTATATTTGCCCTGGGTTACCTGGGAAGCTTCAGATTCTGGCGGGTGGTCACCTATGCGTTGGGAAGTTGAGACACTCTGGAGCCGATCTGTTTAAAGGCAGCAGCCAGAACTGAGCACCTGGGGGCCTTTCCCTCTGTGCAGAAAGCAGGTAGCTCTCAGTCTGAGACAGGAGACCCAGGCTGTGCAGCCACCAAGGGGCCTCTCGCCTTTGGCTGATCCTCAGTCATGAAGCTGTTTGCCAGAACGGATGATAAAGATAACGCGGGGGTGGATTTTATTACTGTTCCATTTCGCAGCATGGAGCACTGTCCTGGGTGACGTGCGCACTGCCCAGCTTAGCTTTCCCAGGGGAGGAGTGTATATAGTAGAGAAAGATAGTAAATCTTAAAATCACTACAGTCCACTACAGTAGAGCCAGATCCTTTTCTGTAGGCATACGTTAACACGCTGCTTGTACTGGCAGGGATTACGTATAGATGAAAAGTAATCTTTAATAGTCACTGACTCTTCATATACTGTCCACAAGCCTTAGAGATTTATCATAGAATTTAATTAGCTTCCTACTGTGAGATTTCTACCTGAAGTGCTTATTAACAGTGATTAAGAGATAACTACAAAAATGACTTTAATTTCTACTCATATTTATCCTGATCTGGGAAAACCTTTTATTCCTATTTGACAACAATGTCAGCTCCACTTTAGAAATGTCCAGTAACCAGGTAAGGAAAAAAATGAAGAAACAGCTAAATAGAAACATTTGCAAATATATTTAAAGACTGAGCCAAATTCTACCCTCAGTTCTCACCTTCATTTAACCCCCTCAGAACAGAATGACAGGAATGTAGCTGTGGAGCCAAAATTTCGTTTTCACCTAACTTTCAGACTAATATCAATTCAGATTCTCTGGAGTGTTTCTTTTTTTCTTCTTTACCCATTTTTTTTTTCTTTGTAAACTCCATTGTGTTAGAGTCAGTCCAGCATCCTGAGATATTTTCCCTCCTTGTCACCATTACTTGTACTGTAATGCTCTTCTCTGATCATTGTCATAGACTCTTTTGTACATATTTATTTATTTGTGTTTATAAACGTCAGCTGGTTTTATATCTTAGCTTCATATCGGCTGGCGTTGTCATTTTAATTAACGTTCTGTTGGAGAGACTGTATATATTTTTTCCTCAATACATTGTGAAGTTGATTTCTGTAGCAGGGCCTTTGAACATGATGCATAAAAAGTGACTGTGAGTGCAGATCGGAATTAGTAGTGAGAAGCTACTATAGCTGATTTGCTGTTGTACTTAAATGGAAATGTTTTTCAAATAAATACTTACGTTGTTTGTGTCCCAAATTATTCAATTCCTTTATGAGCGAATGTTTTCATTTCTGACTCTTAAATAGGAAAAGATTATTTGACAACTGGAAAACAACCAGCCTCCAATTAAGCTAGTGACATGGGCTACTTTGCCAAAAAACTGGGAATGACTGTGTTACAAAGATCCAGTTTACCAGGGACTAATGCATTTTGAAGGTCTTAGATTTTAAGATGACTGATGTGACCCCAAGCTCTGTGGAAGATTACAAGCAGTGTCAGTTTCTTTTGGGGGGAAGTCTTCCGCATCCTAAACAGGGAACTGAACCAGTAATCAGTAATACTGTGTAGAAGTGAGGTCCTAGGATGTTTTCTCACCATTTACAGTTGCTATTTTCATTGTGGGAGGCTTAGAGAATGACAGGACTTAGCCAACTCCAACTTCACTTGTGTGGTTAGACCAGAACCCCGCACTTACTCTTGCCACGGTTATTTAGGATAACTCTTTTCTGTGGAGAGCCAAGGCCCGGTTTGGCCCACAGCCCCCCTCGGGGCTCAGCTGCGGGGGGCGTTTGCTGGTCACTGCTCAGTTAGGTCTTCTGAGCCAACGCTCACAACGCCTGGCCAAGCCACGCTAGGAAAACAGGCAAACAGTTGCTCAAGAGCCATCTGCGAGCAGGGTACTTCGGACGGCTTGGAGTAGTTGGGAACCACTTGTTTGACTTGCAGGCCGACCCAGCGTGTTTGGAGGACTCTGAAATTGGAAGGAGCTGGGCTCTATAAACACCGTGTTTGGGGAGCACTCCGTTTTCAGCTGAATAACATTCTACTTTTCCCAATGAAAAGCCCTGAAGACCTCTCCCCGTCTCCCGCCTCCCCCGCCAGCATTCCTCTTTGCTCACTTTTTCCCTCTTTCTCCCTCCCTTCCCCCTCTTCCCTCTTCATTTCAAGGACAAATACTTAAAGTAACAGTTTTCCTGTTTCCCTAGAGAAAAATAAGAATAAATGTGAAATATTGAAATGCTCGCATTTATATTCTATAGCCTGTCAACAAATGGGGGGGAATGACATGTTTTATTACCACAGGCAGCTTCATCCTAAAGTAAGGAACTTGGGCCTGATAGAAAAAAAAAAAAAAATCAAATTAAATCTATAAACATGTTTGGGTGCCCGATACTTCTTTTCTACCTCTTGTCATTTCCACCACAATTTGGGGGGAGGGCGGTTATTCCAATTTTCCATTTGGGGAAAGTGGTGATTAAAGAGCGTCCGCGGCCCACCTGTGGCCACAGAGGCAGTAAGAGGATCGTGTGCGCTCTTCGATGGCCGAGGGCCTGGTGGCCCCCTTCAGAGGATGGGCAGCCTCGCAAAGGAGGGTAATTCGAGGACAGGACCGATGTCACAAGACGCCGATAACAGACTAGCTGCCCGTCGGTGAGGCCTGGCCTCTGACGTTCCCAGGGCTGCCGTCAGGCCCCCCTGGGAGCAGGGAGAGGCCCGGGGCAGTGCGTGGAGCACAGGCGGGCTGGGCTCACCTGCGGGGGTGCGGGAGAAGGTCGGGGAGCCCCGAGGAAGCCCAAGCCCGGCCGCAGGGTGAGCTGCGGGGCCAGCCGGGTGGGTTTTACCTACCCCAGGATGGGGGCTGCGCAGCTCGAGGCGGGCGCCTTCGGGTGGGTGCCCACTCTCCATGCTTCAGGGTGAGGGCCCGTGGTCTCCGGGTGCCCGGGGTTAGGGACGCCGAGAAACCAAGCGAGCCTTTGGAGAAGGAAGGACAGACGGGAGGAAGGGCGGAAGGAAGGAGCAGGAGGGGGGAGAGGAAGAAGAGGGCAGGAAGAAGGGAGAAGCTGCTGTGTGGCGAAACGTGCTGCGGCCGGAGAGGCAGAGGGCCGGTCGTTAGCCACGCGGGAGCCCGCGGCGCGGCCCGGCGCCTGAGCAGCTCCTGGCGTCCAGGAGACCGTGGTCGATTCCCGGCCCGCACGTGCGGGGAGCAGAGCTTGCTCCTGAGGCTGGGAAGCAGATCCTTAGATGAGCCGAGGAGGGGCAAGGTACAGACAATGAGGGAAACCTGAGCTTCCTGAGCTGGCAGTTAAAATAAACAGAGGCTCACCTCACCTGGCGGTGCTGTAAGGAACCTGGTAAAAGATTTGCAACAGCCTTACAAGGAATGCAAATCCTTAGCTAAACTAAACAAACAAAGAAACAGTATTTGCCCTTAGAGTAGCTTTTACAAGTATATTCCCCAGATCATCTCATTAAAATATTTGTATTTGCTGTGTTTTGAAAAACTAGTTTATTTCAAGGTCATAATCAAAAGCTTGATATTCTAGAGTCTTGAAGCTTACTGATCAGGGATTTATTTTAAACACTTGTGAATAATTGGATGATTAATTTCAGACGTATTTCAAAATCTTTCGAATTTTTTAAATTACATACTCTGGTTGTCTTGACTTATTTTTATTCTGAATTAGTTAAAATAATCTTTATAAGTTCAAGATGTCAGTGTGAATAAAATATTTGATATTCACATTAAATATATTGTGGTGTTGATTCTTAGAGTGTCTAGTTACACTGTGTGAGAAAAATAACAAAATAAAATAAAGAACTGACATACTCTAGGAGCAAAAGAATGACCTCTAGAGCACTGTAATATTTTCCTGTTTCGTTGTCCTAAAGCTCAATCAATCAAGTGTATTGAGTGATCCAAACCCTGTGCTAGGTTGTGGGGGGTTGCAAAATAAACACGGAACCTTCCTGCGGGGATTTCACTGGCCAGAAGAGCTGACATACCTGATACATTTGAAACTACTATAACTCAAAGTACCTTTGGTTTTGGTAGGTTTGCAAAAACATGGACTAGAAATACAGAGCAGAGGAGTGGGAGGTGTATTAAGATTACGCTATTCAAGCCCCTTTAGCCCAAGTGCTATAATGTCACTTTATGTGATTCAGGCAAATAGGATAAAAACAGAAATACCTCAGGCTGATATTAACTCCAGTTCTTTAATGGTATTGGAGAAGGAGCTCAGTTCAACTCAAGCCTGAGATGAGTAAGTGCCTAAACCTGGTTTTGAGCAATTCTCTTGGGAACTGTTTTTATGGCTCTGCCTAGCTGCAATATTAGGCAATTTAATATAAGAGCTCAGAGGGTCCTCGTGGAGCCCAGCAGCCAGGTGCGCAGCCAGACTTGGGGGAGTCTGGGGCCGAGGAATGATGGTCTTAGGCATCAAGCGGTTATTTTTTCTGCAGTGCTATAGTTACTCGCTTTTTTTTCTAAGACTTTATTTTTTAGAGCAATTTTATGTTCACTGCAAAGCTGAGAGGAAGAGATGCTCTGTATACTCCATTCCCTGCTCCCACACATCCACAGCCCCCCGTTACCAGTATCCCCACCGCAGTGGTACGTTCATTACATCCCCTGAACCTACCCTGAGACACCGTTACCACCAAGGCCCATAGCTTACTTTAGGGGTCACTTTTAAGGTGGTAAATTCTGCAGGTTTGGACAGAAGTGCAATGATATCTATCCATCGTTATAATACAGAGATTTCACTGCCCTAAAATGCCTCCGTGCTCGCCTACGTCTCCCTCTCTCCACCCAACCCCGCAAATACTGACTTCTTACTGTCTCCATAGTCTCCCCTTCTCCAGAATGTCATGTTGTTAGACTCATACGGTGCGTGGCCTTTGCAGATTGGCGTCTTTCACTTTGTAATCTGCACTTGTTTCCTCCGTCTTTTCATGGATTTAGGTAGCTCATTTCTTTTTAGTGCTGAGTCATATCCCACTGTCTGGATGTACCACAGCTTATCCATTCACCTACTGAACGACTTCTTAGTTGTTTTCAAGTTTTGGAAATTATGCATAATGCTACTATATGTGTCCACATGTAGGTTTTTTTGGTGGATGTAAGTTTTCAACTCCTTTGGGTAAATACCAATGAACGTGGTGGCTGGATTGGGTTGTAAGAGTGTTTAGGTTTGTAAGAAACCTCCTGACTGTATTCCAAAGTGGTGATGCTATAGTGTTTCCTCTGTGCTTGTTTCTCCCCCTCTGCAGCCGACTCACTTCCTCTCCAGGGCCTTTATTTTCTGTTTCCTTTCAGCTTTGTTTTACATGAAGTTACCATGGTGCCAGTCCCACATGACCTTACAGCTCCAGCTCTCAGTACCATATAACCATGGTTTCAACATCTTTGTTTAAATTCTTGAGAAAGAGCCCCTAATTGACTCAGCTTTACCCAAGTGTCTATACGTTGTCCAAGAACACTTGCCATGACTGTGGCTGCACAGACTCACCCAGCAACAGAAGCTGTAGAAGGGGCGAACTCGCTAATTCAAACAGGATTCTTTGAGCACGTTCAGTGAGAACAACTGGATTATTTTTACAGCTGTGAAATCCTTGTGTCAGGTTGGGCCACCCAGGAAGCAGAAGGGATTTAGAAAAAATAACTTACTGTGAATGACACCTGTGAAAGATAAAGGAGAGGGGGAGGAGGCGGCGAGGTGAGCCTGCGGGTGTCACCCTCGTGAAAGGAGATCAGGAGGATCTGTAGGAAGGGCCCCGGTACAATGCACTCTGAGGAAGACTCGCCAGCCCCTGGGGCTCCCTCCCGCACAGAGGCCTCGCACTGAGCAGTGCTGGGCTGGGCAGACGCAGCCAGGCCCCTCCTCCCGCGCTCAGCTCTTGGCTGGGGCGCCCGGAGAAACTCAGCCCTGGGCCAGCCGCAGAGCTCACGGGCCATCACCTGACCCCACTGGCTGCAGCTAGCTCGCTTGGGAAGATCCGGTGCATGCCCGTGGCCATCCTTCCAGATGCACAAAAATCCAAAATGGCTAAGCTGGGAGATACCAAGTCAACCTGCCGGGTTGCTCCCGGGCCCCGTCCCAGGCTTCGGAGCACAGGGCGCCAGTAAGCAGTCCCTCAGCCAGGGATTTACAACGAGAAGAGATTTTCATAATAAAAAGTTGTGTTTAGAGATTAACTGTGACTCTTAATTATCGTATTTTCCTCTATCTACTTTTACTGGGTCAAATCAAGACATA